GGGGGGGGGGGGGTTGCATCGGCACCAGAGACAGCTCCCCCCCTGGACAAACTAGTATACAAACATGACTCAACATGTCTCTCAATCTCTTTCAATCTCACTTTCTTTGACTTTCCTCTCTAATCATTGTGAGATCCCTGGCGTCTCTCCTGCTCTCGCCCTGTGTTTACCCTTTAACCCCTCTTTCCCCCTACTTTCCTCTTCTCAGATCTTCATCCAGCACATATGAATCCTACATCCTTCCCTGTTCCCCTTTACCCATCATGGCTCTACATCATGAGACCTGACACACCCAGGAAAGTTCCCATTTGCCAATATTCTCACCTCACTCACACCTGCTTCAGTCAGTTCTGCCACTGCGGGAGGGAGTGCCAAAACTATCCTCGGCCATCAAGTCTTGAAGAAGATCTTGACACACTCGTCTCCCTCATTACCTATCCTCCTCATCTATTTCTTTCTCGCCTCTTGCCTCCAACCTCCAACCTCCATCCCAACTGTCCATGTCTCGGCTGCCGATGATGACAACTCAAGTGGACGTGTCTTCTGTTCTCACCAAGAGCTGTGAAGAGATGCACGTAGGTGTCAGAGATCTGGTGTAAAAATACACCCTGCTGCTGCCCTCTTCACTACACAGGACCGGTGTGTGTCTGCTCTCTGTCACTGGAATGTCTCGGTGTAATTTGAAGACATGCTTCGGTGTACTTTTTAGCTGCGAGGGAATGACTCTCGCTCATACAATGGGTGTGCCTGCTGTAGCAGTTTTCAATGTGTGGCCCAGGCTTTCTTTTGTCACCTCAGTTTTTCTCCATTGATGTACACTGACACTGTATTATTCCCGTAAAAGCTAGACTGGATAAAAAAAACTTTATTTCATGACAAAAGACATCTGGTTAACATTTATAAGAAAATCCATTTCCTGCATTGATTTGATAGAAAGTGATCTGGCTCCAGCTCGAGGGCCTAATGAAAGACAATCTCTCTGTTTGATATTAATGTCTGATTTAAGAGACGTATCAATCTCCTAATGTACCTGGTGTTTCAGATAGGATGCAGAATCACAAGTGGCTGCGCCCGAGGCAAAGACAAGACAGGCAGGAGATGGAGACAGAGACTGAGCGGACGCTGGGCTGCTGCTTGCACATTACTGCTTAATTGCTTGGAACTAAAGGCACTGTTATGAGGATGTTTATGCTTATGCCTGCAACAGCAAATATATCCAGTCATTTTGGCTACACTGTAGAGTCTAATAGTCACAACCCAGACACAAAATAAATTACTAACTGATTGCTATGCAATTTGAGCCTGGGGTGCAAAATAACCCTCTGTCTTGCCTTTGGCCAAACTTTTATAGACAAACTTAAAAGAGACACTTTGGTTTTCTTAATCTTTTGGGCCTTAATGCAAAGAC